TATCCAGTCAAAACAGCCATTAAGTACTACCTATTCATTTTTCAAGAGATGTTTCTAAGTAGATTAGATATAAGATGCTTGCATAAGGAAAATAATATTGACAAAAAGGCAGGGGTTTCCAAAACTGAAGTTTAAAAAATGAATAAAAGCTACAGAGAAAATGAGACTCCTAACAGCCACCTGGAAGACCTGGTAGACACCAAAACTGCCCCAACAGCACTTAAAGCTTTCATCTTTGGGAGAGAGGAGAAAATCAAGAAAGTAGCCAAAAAGAAGAACACTTGGAAGTCAAATAAAGAAGCTGCTGGTGTTCTCAGAACAATGGACTGACCACCCCAGAGTCCAGACTTCAACATCACTGAATGTGTTTGGGATTACTCGGATTGTGAGAAGCAGAAAATGCAAAACCAACTTCTAAGACTGAACTTTGAGGGTGGAAAAATATCCCTGCAGATTTTTATAAAAGCTGAAAGTGAGTCTCCTAAAAAGAATAGAAGTTGTATAATAAATGAGGCTCCTGAGTAATTTCCTGTTAAATATATGGTTTCTGCCTATATATGTACATATATTTCCTCATATTAAAATATTTGTGCAATATATGTGATGTTTTAATGTATATGTATAAAACATATACATTTTACACAGTACTGTTTCTAGTTTCTGCGCTCATTGTCCATTTTATCAGCTCCACTTACTATATAGGTGCACTTTGTAGTTCTACAGTTACAGACTGTAGTCCATCTGTTTCTCTGCATACTTTGTTAGCCCCCTTTTACTCTGTTCTTCAGTGGTCAGGACCCCCATGGACCCTCACAGAGCAGGTACTATTTGGGTGGTGGATCATTCTCAGCACTGCAGTAACACTGACGTGGTGGTGGTGTGTTAGTGTGTGTTGCGCTGGTGTGAGTGGATCAGACACAGCAGTGCTGCTGGAGTTTTTAAACACCTCACCTTATTTTGGGTAATTCTATATAACTTTAGTAACAAAGAGTTTATAACTAGACCAAGAGACAACCTGCACCTCCAACTTTAACCTCTTTTTAACTATTTACCTGGAATTGCTTGAGTGCATTCATACACCTTCGAGTTAAATGACTATCTCAGCTCTTTGTTCTGCTCACTAAAACAGGACGCGGCCCATGTTGTTCTAGAACACTCCGTCTCAGCTGGCTGCCGTGTCCTTGGATCCTCTCTTCACAGGTAGAACAATAGAGGCACTTCCTTCAGCCTTGTTCTACAGCCTGTAGGATATCCAGCATGTTTACAACCCCTTTGCTTCGTCCTTTTCCTGTACGTCCTGTCTTTTTTCACTGACTCGTCAAGTTGAACCCTGTTTGTAAACCTCAGGTATCAACAGCTGGGGGCTACCGCTGCTATTTTCCGCATGGAAAAAAAGGAGGAGGGCAAAAAAATGGCAGGAATAAAGGGAGAGAGAGAAAAAAAATCAAAACAAACGCCCAGGCACTGGGGACAGCGCAGACTGCCACATTCTGTGCTTGTGCTTCATTCCTGGCCTGCACAGGCAATGGAAAGTTCTGGAAATGTAAATCTGTTGGGTTAAAAATACAGCGCATTAATGTGCTCCACATGTGGCACTCTGGCAGGGAGAGGGATATTTTGACGGCAGAGGAGGGAGCGAGGGAGGGAGGTAGTGGTCTGAGGGGTTTTCTTTCTGAAGCAGTGCGACGGAGCGTGCAGACACATGCGATGTGTGGATACGCACTTTACAGCAGGGTTTCCATTCAGACGTTGCGCAAACTTTAAGCAAGTTTCTGAAAGGTCGGAAAGAGAAGGTGGGAATTCATCAGCGTTTCCTGTACAGCGCGGGACATGAGTCTTACTCACCAGGCATGCCATATGCAAAACGGAGGGATTGGAACCTCTTCGTGGAGCAGTTTTAGACCAGTTGCATGGTTGTAGATCTAAAGATGGCCTACACTAGAGGATTTTTAGCCCAAATTTAACCCCTATTTTCATAATCTGAGGAGATTTTCCAGCTCGGAAGCTCAATTGGAAGGAGATGATCTGATAGTGCAAGAGGGGAATCTTTAGCCCTTCGTTTGAGCTCAGCAGTGATCAAAGGCCGTACAACATTTTCAAACATTTCATTTTTATGACTCACAATGTTCCTGTGAGATGGTCAGAGATGTTACTCAATGAGTGATTTAGGCAACAGCCAATGAGAGAGCTAGAAGAGAGAAAAAAAAGGGTGAAGAGACAAGCATGCATGCCGCGTTAAGCAAAGCTGCGGCCTAATTTTAGTCGTAGACAATTTTCACTCATGTCATTGGACAGCTCAACACGCTTTGAGGAGATCACTAACTGCCGACTAACAGACCCCACTGATGGCTAGCACCATGCTGAGTGATGGGAGGAAATGGAGAACCATCCTACCCACCCAGAGAGAGAGAGAGAGAGAGAGAGAGAGAGAGAGAGAGAGAGAGAGAGAGAGAGAGAGAGAGATTATGTTGTTTTGGAGTCCTGGTCACAGATAGCTGTGGCATCGAACTTGTGATCTGCCAATGATAGAGCCAACATTAATGGCCACTAGTATTTTAGCAACATCTGGTCAGTGGTGGTCTGTAACATCCTGTCTTGTTCCATTCTTGTCTCTCTCTGTTTTATCCTTGGTTTTCTTGGTTGTCTTGGTTTCCCAGTGCCATGTGTTTTTGTTTATGTCTGCCATGTGCCCTTGTGCCATGTGCCTTTGTCGTTGTTTTGGTCTGTCTCCTCCCTGGTCCTGCCCCTTGTCACCTGTTCCACCTGCCTGTAGTCTGTAGCCACGCCCTCTTATTAGTCCCAGGTGTTTCTTGTTTCCCCTCAGTGTTTGCTCAGTCCCTTTGTTTTGTATTGTCTATGTTACTTTGTTGCTGTTGCTTGTTTTCACTGGTCTTGTTGTTAGGTTTTATTTCTAGTTTAGTTTTGTTTTCCTCTGTTTTGTTTCATCATGGACTTGTCTGTTCTATGAACCTCTGCTACTCAGTTTCTGGACTCTATTAAATCTCAAAAACCTACATTTAAATAAAAGCAACTCGTACTTGCATCCAGCATCATTGCCTCCTACGTGACATGGTCCTATGGTGGATTCTTACAAATGATGAATGGAGGTGGAGTAGGGGTGAAGCAGATGTATACTGCTGACCACAAACGCATGTTTTTGTAGTAGCCTTTCTGAGGTTGAACTTTAGAGGATGCAGGTAAAAATCTCATTCAACCTATTAAGAAACAGTAACAGTTTTTTGTCAAAACACCTACATTTACAGTGTGTTATTCATTTAAAATGACTTTTATTTTGTATATGTCTGCAAGGTCATACTGTTAAGTGAGATCAGGTGCTTTGTTGTGTAATCAAGCTAACTTTAGCATGGTGGCTATTTTTTGTTGTTTCTAATCTGACTCTTTTCAATTAGCACAAATTTAATGACGTAGCATTTTAAACTGAAATCTAAGCATTATGTAGCGAGTCTACGCTCCACCCTACGTTCTTTAAGTTCAGTGGGATTTGAGCTAATGTTCTGTAAAGGTTGTCCTACATCACTGTCTCAGAGACCACCCTTCACTTATGTAATTTCCAGTCAAAACAGCATATGCATTACTATTTGTTATTCATTTTTCAGTATCAGGACAAAAAAAAAACCAGATAGCATACATACTATATTTAACAGAAAATTATGTCAACAACTAAATATTATATAATTTTTTCAGTATTTATCCCACTCTTTATCTTTACAGCTTCTACTGTTTTCCAAGCAGTTGCTTTCACTTTTTCAAAGAAATCTGCAGGAAAATTTCTCCAAGTATTACCTCCAAAGCTCAGTCTTAGAAGTTGGTTGCACTTTCTGCTTCTCATGAGCATAAATAGGCCAACTTTACACAATTATTAACTGAAGCCCATTTGCTGCTATGCACAATTTGTCAGCCACCACTATGAGGCTGTTTCACCTTCAAATTGAACTTAACATGAAACTTGAAAAAACAAACACATAGACACAGCACATCTGCTGCCGGTTGCCACAAGAGCAGCTTGCCAGTCGCCAGATTATTAAAAATATTACTCAAAATGGCCAATAAATTTAGGCACAAAGTGCCTGATAAACTGGCAAAGTTTAGGGTAACACTTTCTATGAATGTCACCTTTGTAAGCATCTATAAACATATTCATATATTATAATGCATTCATAAGACATTATAGACATAGCTATAAATATTTATAAAAATGCATTATACGTTATAGCCATGCTTATTATGCATTATGAACTGTTAACATAATACATTATAAGTACTGATCATAACAAATTATAAGAGCTCATAAGTGGTATTTGTCTGCTCTAAGTAAAGTGAAGCGTACTGGACTAAAGCCTCCTCCAGTGTTCAGAGTGAGGCTTCAAGTTGAAGTATTTACTGAAGGATTTACTGAAACACTAAAACATTCACAGTAAAGCACATTACAGGCTTCAAATGTCAGAGTTTAAACTAGAGCTGCCATCAGTGTTTTACCCAGTGTGGGAAAGGTAATGTACACCACCGTTAGCTTGGTATTTGTCTTTACTTTACACTCTCCAAGCTGGGACTGACTTCTTTGGCACTGACAGTATAACATGTTATTAACACTATTTATAATGCATTATATTAACAATTCATAATGTATAATAAACATGGCTATAAAGTGTAATCCAGTGTAATTCTTTTTAATAAATATTTATAACCATGTTTATAATGCCTTATGAATACATTATAACATGTTATAAATGTGTTTATAGATGCTTACAAAGGTGACATTCATAGAAAGTGTTACCAAGTTTAGGTTATGACAGTAAAACGTAGACACCCAGTAATCATAACATATAAACCCTCTCGTCCAGCACAGAGCCAAACAGAGCTCCACCATCATCCTCAAATGCTCCTAGATGGAGCCGAGAGGGTCAAGACTAGACTAAATCCATTATTCCAGCAATCGCGTCCTACAAAAGCACTGCTGCAGTTCCAAAGAGTTCTCCTACCTTGTGCTTTCTCCACAAACACCACCTTGGAATCGGGCTGGAAGTTATGTCCACTGAGGACCATCCTCTCTCCTCCTGAGGCTGGACAGCTCTCCACACTCTGTCTATCCACCAGAGGCAGCTCCTGTGCAGAGCGCTGGGCTAACCACACAAACGCATACAAAAAGAGTGTTAAAGTGTGATTTACATTCAGAATCAGCTCTGCAAGCTTTACAACTTTATTCATAAAGGTTTTATTTTGAGGAATTTGAAGCAGCTGTTTTCAAACTGTACTGACTAACTACTCGGTTTTTAAACAGCACCAGCTGTTTATGATTTTTTATCAATCATAACTGGCTGTGTCATTGACAAAGGCTGAGATAGTGACTGGCCTTTTAAATGATGTTTACTGTGATTGGCTATTGGAAAGGACTGCTGGGTTTTCCCTTGTATGTTAGGATTGCTGTGTCTGTTAGTACAGAAGTAAATGAGAAAGGGGATTACTTTTCCAGGATGTATCAGTAAAGTAATCCCATTGCAGTTTGAAAGAAGTAATGAGTCATCTGTAATGGATTATCAAGTATGACCAAATTCAAAAGTGACCTTTCTGAAACCGCTTTAAGACCTAAATAAATATTTGCAACATAACGTCTGGCACACTGTCATAAAAGGCAAAAACATGTTTCCTACAGCCTTAATATTATCATTATTATAAAGTTCTGGTTGTGGCTTCAACAATTGGTTTGGCTCCACAGGTTTTCTTCTGTATTTGTCTGCACTGTAAAAAATGAGAGGTCTGCTCAACTTAAAATGATATAGTAACTGATTTCATGGCTTTTCTTGAGTTGACTCAAGTTGAGGACACCAGAGTTCACACAACTCAAACTTCTTAGTTGAGTCAAAAACTCTCCCAGCTACTGTTTCTAGGTCTGCGTCTCAGTCAGATAAACAAACTGAATTTGCGTTTTTTACTCAGTTTCCCCACTAGCTGGCGCTCCTTCTATCACACAGTCCTATCTGGCATATTTTCCTCTTGGGCTTCCAGATATAACAGCTGTGGCATTGCTGGGATTTAAACTCACAACCTCCTGATGTTGGGATTAGATTATTAGACAGTTGCACCACATGAGACGATGCCATGCTTTAAAGTTGAAACAACTAATATTTTCTCCAGTGTATTAAACATTTGTAGACACACAATCTGAGCTGCTTCATGTGTTCCTGAGTGGTGCAGTGGACTAAGCCGACACCCCAATAGCAGGTTGTGAGTTTAAGCCCCAGTGATGCACAGCAATCCATAAGTACATATGCAAGAGGAAAAATGTCTAAAAGGATTGTGTGATGGAAAGAGACCTGGCTGGTGGGGAATGTAAAAAAAAAAAAAAGAAAGTTCATTTTATTTTCCTCACTGAGATGCAGAACTAACAAATTAAGAGAACCTTTGACTCAACTAAGAAATTTGAGTTGTGTAAACTCAAGTTGTGTGTCCTCAAGTTGAGTCAACTAAAGAAAAGCCATGAAATCAGTTACTATATCATTTTGAGTTGAGCTGACCTCTCATATTTAAGAGTGTGGGACTGTAGTGGGATCTATTTGGGTTGGGCTAAATGATACAGTTTTATGCAAAAGTTTAGACACTCCTGGTCCAATTACATATTAACACATCCTCTACAAATACTAAATGCTTCTGCCAATTTTAGTGCAGAATTTCTATGAATTTGAGTTTAACATATTGGAAAAAATAAGACATAAAAAATAAAATGTGCCATAACTTTTGCACAGGCCACCCTTTATGTTTTATTTCTATTTCCAATGTGTTAAATTCAGCAAAGATTTTTGCAATCTTCAAAGCTTGAGGATTTTGGTCCAAGAAAACTAGCATCAGTAACTTCTGCTCCTTGTTGAGTTTTAATGACAGTAACTGATCATTTTGCATAGCCTTACCAAACACGGCTCCATTATTTTGTTTGTATTGTGAAAATGTGTGTATATTGCAACACTGTTGTGTTACATTTTTACCATATTGCCCAAACCTACAGTTGAACGATCTTCCAAAGTTTTGATCACGGAAGCCACTGGGCTAAAAAACAGTTCTAAAAGAGCACGCAAATAAAACCTGGCAAGCTCTCGCTTCCCTGATATGTTTCATATTGCTGCTGTTTTCAGTAAGTGCTTGGCTATGCACCAGAAATTCCTCTGTTTATGAGCTGTTCTTATTGTGTAATGATCCCTTTCATTTACCTCACACTATATGACAGCTTCTGGCAAACGCCAGCGCCAAAAACTGACATTAGAAAACTAAAATGTACAAAAAACCTTCAGTGGTCGTGAAAGTTAAGAGCTCAACAGCTGAAGAAAAGAAGATAGTTAATGTGCTAAAAAACACTGAACACCTATTTATGAGACTATAACTGTAAATTCTATCACTTCTGCTGTGTTTAATGGGCAAAAGTCTCATGTGAAGGACTGAAAACTGCATTATTAATGTTCATAGCTTGGGTTTATACAGTCATATGCAAAAGTTTGAACTCCCCTTGTCAATTTATATGTTTCTGGTGGTGAAAATATGTTTTCTAAGTGAAAATGAGTTAGCACTATATACTCTATAGAGACCAAACTGCATATTTTATTGCACAGTTACTGTTTATTTGCTGAATTTAACATATTGGGGAAAAAATATGTATAAAATTCGGCCTGTGCATAAGTTACTGCACATTTTACACTGTATGCTTTATTTTTTGCCAATATGTTAAGAAAAAAACATATGCACTAAATTTGAGTATTTGAGTCTGTTATCTGTACACTGTTAGAAATAAAGGTGCTGTGCAGGTACATTTTTCATCCATCAATGTACAAACAATGTAAATGTTCCCTCAAAGGTACAACAGTGGTTTTAAGGTCCAATTATGAACCTTAAAAAAAAAATTCGAGGTGAAAAGTACATATTTGTACCTTTTCATAACCGAATGTTTTAAAACAGAACGATAAAAGTCCTGGAGATGAGACGGGGTGTGTGGAGTCAGTACAGCTTAGAAAATATAATTCCAGTGGATTATGGTTCAGTTATGTTCCCTGACTAAAGGTACTGAGATGTGACAGTTTAGTACCTTTATTTCTGAGAGTGTAGAGGATGATTTATTCATAATGTGGATTAAAACTAAAGCTGTCCGATATATACTATTTGAGTACTGCTATCACAGTATTAGTCTTTGCAATACTGAGATCACCGACAGCTACAATAAGCCTCTAATAGATCATTAATGAATTTGCTATTCATATGTCTCCAACAAACATAAATAGTTCTAGTCAAATAAATGCGATCTTTAATCATCTCACATCAATGGATTTCATTTAAATGTATTGCAATGCAAAAAAGTCTGTAACTGTCCATATCACACAGTACTAATTCTGACTAGTGTTCTCTGTAGTTATGTAGGCACTGTATGTTGACTTACAGCACTCAATGGGGTTGGATGCCACCTGCAGAGACACCGTCCTGCCATTGGGCTGGTTAATGTGGACGCGGAACACCATCCTGACGCGCGTGTTCTTCCGCCCGATGTCCGTCTCACCTTTCCTCAGCTCGATGTCCGAGTTCCGCAGTTTGAGGATTCCAGCGCAGTCAATTCTACACAAACATGCAGAGAAAAACATCTATGAATCCTTTTTAATGTCAAATCTAAGACGCACTGCTGGACATTGGTTCAATAGACAGTTTGGTTTTACATTTTGCAAATCCAAAGCTGAACATAGGCTGTTGTGCTCTTAGATTGACGTTCCTGCCAAAGTGCCTCTTTTGGCTATAATTCTCATTTTCATGGCACTCATGAGCTTTCACTGAACACTTCATAAACGTCCTCTCTCTCCTTCACTCAGCCTCCGACCTCTGCTTTCCACAAAGACGCTATTACAACTTGTCCAAAGTGTTTCTTCCATTAAACACGCACAAGCTTCAGTCACCTTAAGCGGATTCAAATGTAACCATCACCACATTTGTGGTAATGGTAGACAGCCATAAAGTCACTATACAGTCGATATCCCAACACTTTAATTGAAGGCTACCTAAATAGGGGCTTCATAACACATGCATAAGCATGGAATAATGTATTTATAAAGCAATACATGAGCATTTGTTAATAACAAAGTGACATAAGATGCTTGTATTCACATAAGAGGGCTTAAACTAATGTGATGGACAAATGTTTCCATTATAACACTGTTATGAAGCATCACTGCCTGGTAATTGAATGTATAGAGGTACAATCTCTAAAAATATGGTTCTTTAAGGGTTCTTTAGTAAAGAAAATGGTTTCTATAAAGAATTGAATGAGTGCATGATTAAAAGGTTCTATGCATAATGCAAGGGTTCTTCAGAATGTGTTATAGCTGGTTCTATAGAGAACCTTTCTGAAAAGGGTTCTATATAGCACCCGAAAGGTTCTGCTATTGTTACGATGTCAAGCTTATCACAGTAGAAGAACCCTTTTGGGTGCTATATAGAACCTTTTTCAAAAAGATTCTATATAGAACCATCTAACCCTAACCCTTTAATTAAGCAAAGGGTTCTTTGAGTGTTCATGGTTCTTTATAGAATCATTTTCTCTACTAAAGAACCCTTATAGAACCATTTTTTAAGAGTGTAGAGGTCTAGTTAAGATTAGAATTTGTTGGTTCTAGTTCTAGTTGACGCCCCTGATCCCAAGTGATCATTTTCCTTCATATCAACCTATAAATCTCTACTTTTAAAGCTTAAGCACATTTACAGTTCAGTTCCTTTGTATTTCAACTCAAATAGAATTATAGTTCTATCTAGACTTCCACTTTTACTTAACTCATTTTTGACAGAGATCCCCCCCCCCACTAGTTCATTACTAGGCAATGACGCTTCATAACAGTGTTATAAACAATGCTCATCTTAGTTTAATGCAATAGTTTAACTTGTTAATGCAATGTCAGTTACTTCACAAAATATCTTATGTTTTGTGATTATCTGTATGAGCTATTCATGATTACTGAAGTATTGCTTTATAAATGCATTATTCAATGTTTATACATATGTTATAAAATCTCTATGTAGACAGACTTCAAATAAAGTGTTATTATTTTGTTAAACGTGATTTTTTTTTCAGGCAAAACCAAAAAGTCTAGAAAAAAACATATGAGGAAACCATCAGATGCACAAGAACCAACAAAAAGGATCCTAAATTGCAACATATTAACTTTAATGAGATTGTTTGAAAAAGTACATAATCATATGCAAAGGTTTGGATATCCCTGGTCAGATTGTAAGTTTGGCATATGGCATTTTATGAAAGTTTTACAGCAAAATTTTTAAACAATGAATTTATACATATTATGCCGAATTTAATATATATGCATATAAATTCAGCAAATAAACACTAATTATGCATTAAAATGTAAGAATTGTGCTCCCTGTAGAGGATGTGTTAACTTATTTTCAAACGTAATTTGACCAGGGGCGCCCAAACGTTCACATACGACTGTAACATGGACTGCGTGTATTACAACAGCATGTAAAGTGGCAGAATTAAGAGGCATTTGATAGATTTAGAACTATTTTCCTCAGTCTGTGCCCAATTCCCTCTGAAAACCATGAAATAAAATACTTCATTCTGATATAACAACCTTATATTGTATTACCTCTGACATGGGGACTCATTATTTTTTCACAACTGTATTAGAAACATATCTAGCCACTGCTCGCTGGAATGCCTTTCTAAAAGACTGAAAGAGGATACGGAGGGGTTTGGGTTTTTATATAAGCTGAGTGAGTAATCCATCCATTAAAGCGGGAGAGAAAAGTGCTGAGCTGGTCAGGCTGCTACTGCAGGACTCAGCCGCCAGACCCCAGCGCCCTGTCAGAGGCTCCGCTCACATCCTGAGGCCTCCTGTAACACGAGCCCTGCAGCTTCTGGGAGGGAAACCCACTGAGCTGGGGCTCCACCAACACCCGCACATGCATTTCTGAAACATTCACTACTTAGAGCTGAGAACATGTAATAAAACAAGGAGTGGATTCAGATCAGGACTTTAGCTGCTACTAGATACAGCGATGCACCAGAAATGAAAATCTATGGGTGACAAACAAAACCAAAAGCTGAAAAAAGCTAAAAATGAATAAAAACAGTTTACATCAAATAAGTGTATTAAGATTATTATATTAGGCTACAATATGTGCCACAACATCCATTGTCTGCAACAACAGAGGGAATGACTGGCCATCCAAAACAACAGATTCTATTATTTTTTGTTATTCTTTGGCAGTCATTTGTAATAATAATAATAATAATAATAATAATAGTAATTTTTATTTATATAGCACTTTTTATGCCGGCGGCAGCTCAAAGTGCTTTACAGACAGGTGGTAAGGCTTAACAGTAATACAAGAAATTATAAGTATTAATTTAGAATCATATAAGAAAATGACACAGATCAAATTAAAAGATAAAAAACCACGAGACATAGTTTTAATGAAATGCTGCGTTAAAGAAAGACGTTTTTAGATGTTTCTTAAAAGTGAGCTCTGAGCTTGACTGTCTGATAAAAGGCGAACTTGAGCTCCACAGTTTAGAAGTAGAATAACTGAACGAGTCTCTCCATGTTGTCTGTATTTTACCGTTTTTGCAGAAGGTCAGTATCTGCAGATCTAAAATCACATGCTGGAACATAAACAGACAGACACTTTGTGATGTAAGCGGTGCTTTAAGGTCATTTAGAGCTTAAAAAGTAGTAGCAGAGCTTTAAAATCTATCCTGTGAATCTGTTTGTGAATTATTTATCATTTCAAAACCTGAATCTTCAGATGACGTTGGCGTGCTCTCAGAAACTTTCCTTTCTGCTTCTGCGTATCGAGCTGGACTATATGATTTCAGTTGGTATGAACCCTTTAGTGGAGTTTTTAGGTGTTGTACCTCCTCTTAATCCTCAGCATGAACAGTGATTATTAATCCCTTGTCTCATTTCCCTCATGCAAACCATAAAACAGCTTTACGTGGCTGATTTTAAATTCAGCAAATAAACCTAATTGTGCATTAAAATGTGCAGAAGTATGTTTTCTGTAGAGGGTGTGTTCACTTATTTTCACTCAGAAAATCACTGAAACGTACATTTGAGCAGGGCGCCAAAACTTTTGCACGACCAGTTATTCAAATTCCCAAATAATCACTATTAATTCATTTA